CCCATGCCTTTGGAACTGGACTATGGTGATGGTTATAACCCCTTACAATCACAGTGTTGTTATACAGGGGGAAAAACTGGTGATAGCATATATAACATTCTGGTTAAAGTGGTTGAGTTGGCAATAACAATAGACTTAAGTACAACCGGTTACTGACAAGCTGTTAGCCTGTTATCTGTAACTGTAGAAGGAGGGTCTACAGAAATACAATGTAATCCAACTTATGCTAGGAACTTCCATGATGTTATTTTCCACTTAGTAGAGTGACTTTACCCTGTTGTTGGGAAGGGAGCGTTCCAGAGGATGGAGAGATGAATGAGGTTAAATACAAATAGGAGCAAGGTTAGAGTGAGATGATAATTTGGTTTTGGATGATTGTAGGGCACAGGAGGGAAGGATTGGAAGAGAGGGTCTATGAGTTTTGAAGTGAACCAGAAAGAGACGAGACTGTTTACTCACATGAGAGTATCAGTGGAGGAGCAGATGGCTGAAGCCCACACTGAAGACCTCACGTCTTCAGGCCAAATGCAGCAGTTACTTCTTGGCTCCCTGGGGAAATGTTCCCCTGCCACCTCATTCAGTCAGTGAAGGAGGAAAAAGAATTGGTGCCAGATGAGGCGACAGTGGAGCATGCAACAGGAAGTCTGACTCCAACAACACATCTAATGAGCCTGTTATTAGAGGCTCTTGGCAGACTGAGGCAAATCGAATGCTAATGAAAAGCAGGCCCTGAGAATAGTTGAAAACTTAGCATGAGCCCCATTACATGGTCTCTTTGTGTCACAGAGGGTGATTTGCACAATAAGCTAAGCATTTCATTGAAACAGGACTCACGTAAATTCGCATGAAAAGGAACTGGGCAGTGATTGAAAAATTAACAGCTGTTTAAATAATTCAGTGGAGAGGCTAAGGCTAAAGGAAATTATAACCTCATTGTTAAAAGTTTTTAATTCTCCTAATGGCTGTCTCATCATATATTTGTTGGGCAATAGAGGCCAACGGAGAGATCTGGCTGAGTTGACCTACTGAAACTTTCTGTGTTAAAGAATTTCATTGCTAGCTCCTCTATCCTCTAAGTGCTCAAGTAGAAACAAACCAACAATGTCAGGGAGCTCGGTGGAGCTGGTATGTTTAAATTTCTCATTGTTTTATTTCATCTGTGCAACCACAGGATGTAAGGAGTATTAATAAAAGCAGAAGTATGCAAACTGGAAATGACTTACTAGGTGTTAATCCAGGGGAGCTGGCCAGCCTGAGTCCTGCCCTCTCAGCTCACTGCTCTGGAAGCAAAACCTTTAGCTGCTGAAGCCTCAGGCTTTCACTTGTGTCTAACTCAGCTCCTTACAATAACTCTTTCTCCCCCAGTGAGCTGGGAACAGTCATTGAAAACCCATCATATTCATGATGATAACAGGGCCCAGAAGTACATGTTTGACTTTTAATTTGAATCAGTGTCTTTGCTAAAATCCAACATGTGTACATCTGAGGTTGCATCTGGTGAGAGCTTTAGGCTTTAGGCTGGATATACAAATTTCCATTGTGTGTCTACTCTCTGTTTGCTAAGCTATGGACATACTGCACAGTTAATTTGAGGAGACACCTCATTTCCTCCAGGTTTATTTTCAGATGTCCTCTTATCACAGAAACCAGGCTTGGCCACTTGATATAAAATCTCATTACCTCACTATTCTCCACTGCCTTTAACTTTCCTCCAGCCACTTGCTCTCTATAAAAGATTTACCCACTTATTCGTTCCTCGTCTCCAGTGTCTACTTCAAGGAGCAAAGACTTTGTCTTTTTTGTTTATTGTACTATTTTTAGCACCTTGATCATGGCAGAATTCTATTTGTGGCCAATAGAAATTCATGCAATAAATGCAAGAACGGTAAGAGCTTGCTACAGCATATACCACCAGCCTATCTGTAGAGGGGCTTCCTTCCCAGGAGAAAACAAGGTACTCTTGAGAAATTCTCAATTTACTTTAGTAAAATTTATCAAGCACTAAGTACTAGATGTTAAAAATTACAGCTCTATTCTCTCAGGAAGCATACAGTGCTGTAGGATGCTGTCATTTAAATTAAATCCATTCATTAAGATCCAAGTCAGAAACCATCACCTCCTGGGAGACCTTCTTGAGTATCCCTTCTGCCTCAGTTTCCCTTGGCATCATTGCAGAACTTTGTTACCACTCATAGGACAGGCACAGGTATAATGAGGCTTATACTTTCCTCATTCCTGAGTGTGGTGTCTCATTACATAGAGAATGGTCAGTAAGTATAAGTTACCTATTATTCCTGCCGTTGCTGCCTGCATTCAGTAACCAGCACTGATAGCTGTGTATGTCATGCATTTTTAATCATTGTATCTATTCTTTTGAAGATCCATAGGCTTAAAAACAGCTCTGTGTTATGCTATATAATACTCTACAATGCCGTATTCCATCATATTCTCCATTTCAGGATCTCCTTGTGCTCTGGCAGATGTAGTGATTAATTAGGTTGGCATAGAATTTCTTACAAAGAGTTTTAGGGGGAAGGCTCCCCGTGTCCCAGAGGTAATTAAAAAATAGTTGTCAATGTGCATATGTGAGACACTCTTAGAAGCCTGAAGCATCTGTTTAATTCCAAGAGGGGCAAGTCACGCGAATTTTCCCAACAAATACTTGTGGGTTTGTGACATCTTGATGCTGCCACTTTGATGTGGCTGATTTAATTGAGGGCATCCAGGACACTTTGTCATGGCCTAAAAGCAAACCATTAAGTGAGCAGCAATTCTGTACAATGAAGAAATGTGTGTAACAGGCACCCAAACACTTCTCACGGCTGGGTATGTATGTTACCCTAATATTTGTGTGTTTTCACTTTGACATGATTATTTTGATCCCTGAAGCTTTCATTACATCACGTGGATCTTGCCAGAAGGTTTGCTTTAAATACCTTGCCAGTCTCACTTAAATATCAGCCATGTGCCTGATTCTAGTTTCAATGGCAAGAGGGATGCCATTCAATTTATAGCAGAAGGCAAGGGATATTAACCATCTCAAAGGGAACCACAGAGTTGTGCCAAGAGCTGGCTAAGGGAATACATGAACCACCTCAAAACACATACGACCACTCTTCTTTGTTGCCCATTTCCTGATTTAGAGCTTCATGTTACAGTATTGGCTGCAGAAATGTTTAAAAATGGAAAAGGATCCCAGTGCAAACATAGAAATATGATCTACCGACGTTAAAAAGATTAGTTTGATCATTTTCTTCTACTGGGTTGTAAAAAGTATTTTGCCGCCTGTTTTACTTGGCAGTAATCACTCACTGATCAGAAAGGCCCTGGCTGCAGGCCATGAGCACACATGCCCTATTTTCTTTTTTAGAGGGTCTGAGTGATCGTTAGTGCACACAAACATCAAGAAGTCAGAGGTTGCTTCGATTGTTAGCTAAATGGATAGAAATGTAGGCCCCGAACAGAAGACTAACAACCTTACATTTTGAATATTCTACAAAATCATGCAAGATAATTCCAAGTTTTAAAACAGTTTGGTGGCAAGTATATAAGCAGCCTGGTTTTTTTTTTTTTTTTTTTTTTTTTAAAGTAAGTCATAATATTGTATTTGTGTCCCTGGTCTTCACTCTGAATACGGAAGCTATGTTCTTGGCATTTTGTTGGAATGGTAGTGCAGTTGGTTAGTTCAACTGAATTAAATGTCATCCTTGTTGGGAACTTGACAAGTAGTGTCTCTTCTTCATGTTCCCTGGAAAAGGAACTTCCCATGTCAAGCATCATGCCAGTATATTATTGTTTAATTTTCATGTGATGGGTATCACACCATTTTTCTACACACCATGCAGCTTGCACATGACAGAAGCAGGATTCGAAGCCACAATTCTCTGACCCCAAAGCCCACGCTCTTCCCAGTATAGCTGATGATTATGAATCTGCAGATAGGTATCAATTCCAGATGGAGGTTTGGGCAGTCTGTGATGAGAATATCTGAGAAGAGTAGCACCTTGGTATCGTAGATGACGATAAGCCTGTCATTTACCCAGGGACAGTAAAATGTCCTTCCAGATGCTAGCAGCTTTTATCTGTTCCTTATTGAATGATGGTGGTTCAAATAGCAGCTGTGAGAATGTCCAAAGTTGCCAAAGTAAAACCCTGGCACCCCTGTGTCCATGACCCAAGCTTAATTGTTTAATCTCAGTGACCTGGGAAATGATAAAGCTGGACAAGGAGTAGTATCCCCATTTTCCTGCTCAGGGCTCCACTGACTCTCAGGATGGCTTGGGGTCATGAGGTTTAACCAAAAGAGAGCTAAGCTGCATCTGTGGGAGAAAGTGGTCAAAAGACTTCTGCAAACTGTACTTCTTTGACTCCCGGTGGTCTTGGCTTATGCACAGTTTAACACATCCTGACAGTACTGTGATCTTTTTAAAAACACAGGACATTGAACTTCCTTTAAGTTGGATAAACTATTTTTCCAAAAGAGAGGTAAGACTGAGGTTCTTAGCATCTCCAATTTTTATAGGATGTAGAAAGCTTGAGCTTGGAGGCCTTTTCATTTTGGTATAACTCATACTACCACCCTCTGAAAACCTCACCATTTTGCTGTTGTTAAAAGAATGAAAAAGCTCAGATTTTGGAGCCAGGAATGTCTGGATTTGACTCTCCATTTCCTCTGGCCTTGTGGCCCTCAGCATGTTCGTCTTTGTAAAATGGGGTGGGGATACCTCCCTCCCAGCACTCAGGGCAACTCTCAGGAAAACCCATTGCTCACTGCCTGTCTTTACCATGGGAATCCTCAGTCATGGGAATCAAAGCACCTGACACACAGGTGACTGGTGTGTCCTGTTGTCCTGTCCGCAGGTAACCTGGAATCCAGAATGTCCTGAGTCAACTTTACTTCCTATGCCCAGGCATATAGGCAGGCTGCTATAATCTGAGCCCCTGAAGCTGCGTAGGTGCGGTGCCCACGGTCTCTAACCACTGCCCCACTTCCGTTGCAGTGCCAACAATATGCCCAAGCAAGTGGAAGTGCGCATGCACGACAGCCATCTCAGCTCAGAGGAGCCGAAGCACCGACACCTAGGCCTGCGCTTGTGCGACAAGCTGGGGAAGAACCTCCTGCTCACGCTGACGGTGTTTGGTAAGTGCCTGAACCTCCCAGCCCATCTTATGTGGTACTCTCCGGGCTCTGTGGGGGAGCTGGTCTGAGCAGCTACCTGCTCTGCCCAATGCCCAGTTGGCTCAGGCATCGCTGCTGCAGTGGAATCATCCTCCTGAATCCACCTAACACAGCTGTGTGCCCTCCTCCTTTGGACCCTTACCCTCATGGTTTCCAGTGAGTGTGTCAGCATGCAGATTCCTAGGCCATCCCCATGGAGACAGCCTTAGATCATCTGTAGTGAGGCCCAGGAATCCACAGTTAGTAAGCCTTAAGGCGATTCCAAAGCAGGTAGCTAGTGGATCAATTTAGCAAAATACCTGCACCAAGATAGGATGACTGTTGCAGAAAACACTACTAAACAGATACCCAGACTCTGACCTTCTGCAGAAACATTGCTATTTAGATTGGGCACATTACCTGAGGAAGTCAATACAGAGATTTGTCTCAAGCTTGATTTGCTCCAGCTTGAACTCCAAAATTTTCCTTCTTAGCTTCCTTCCTCACCCTGTGTGGACAGCGAATACAATCTCGCTTTTAATTTTTCCACCAGGTTTTATGAACAATGAAGTAAACTGAAGCTGTAACACCAGCCACACCATCTCTCTTCTCAGTATCTCCTTTGCTCTTCAGCTCTCCCTTTAGTTACACAGGGAAGCAATGACACCTCCTTGTCTCCCAACTGTCACCACTGACCCCTATGCCCACCCACATACCCTCTGTCCTGTGCCATCTCCCTTCAATCAGTCTTCTTATCTGCCGTTGTGTCAGTGTCAAGACTGGGAACTTACCACACCTCAGTTCATGCAGTGATAGGAAACTACAGGCATGGTTGGGTATTCCAGGGGTTACCCTCCATGCACGCACAGCTCATTCATCACAGGACTTTGAAAAAGCTGGCCTGTGATTGTTGCTTATAGGAGAAATAAGGTTAGACTTATTTAGTCACATCACTCCCTCTGCATCCCTGGAATTATCTCTATAAAAACAGACCCTAGAAGTCCTCCCCTCCTTTACAGCCAGTATGATACAGCCTGACCTGTGGCCCCTGGCTGTGCTTTATGCTGGCCATTCCATTTTCAGAGATCTAAAGTCCTCCTTGTAGGATCTGCTAGTCTGTAGAAGAGAAAGTCTCCTGGCGGCATCACTGCTTCACTTGATTCTTCTAAAATTGCAGGTTTTTAAAGCTCCTCCTTGAGCTGCCATAAAATCATTAAGTCTAGGAATTGAGTAAAAGGACCTGGAAATCAAAGACAAATCTGGAGAGTAAGCCATGAGGAAATTATTGGCAGTCAAAGGAAATAGATGGATGGGGATTTGTAGTAGTTTGGTCAATCAAACATTTTATGTGACCTCCAGTTAAATGCATGACACATTTAATAGCCAAGCCATGTGGCCAGACCTGGGCTGGAGGAAACCACATCCAGCACTGTGAGTTGTTTCTGTGGAAAATCTCTGATGCTGCAATATCTTCAAGTCTGTTGGAGCCAAGTCCTCTTCCCTGCCCCACCTTCAGAAGGCTCGCTTTGATTTCCAGTGCTGCCTGTTAAAATAGTTGAAGCAAAAGTCCTTTTGCTAGTTGGCAACACAATTTTCCTTAACAAACATTTGTATTATAAATTTATTCATCATCAAACAAGACAGAAGCATGAGAAAGATCAGTTTCACCAAGAAGTCTGCAGGTCTATTCATTTGACTAGGGCAAAAAAAATAAATAAATTCATATTTTCTCCCTTTTCTCCTTCCTTATAGGTGTCATCCTGGGAGCAGTATGTGGTGGGCTTCTCCGCTTGGCCTCTCCCATCCACCCTGATGTGGTTATGTTAATAGCCTTCCCCGGGGACATACTCATGAGGATGCTAAAAATGCTCATCCTCCCTCTCATCATCTCCAGCTTAATCACAGGTAAGACCACCTCTCTGGAATCTCTCCAAAGAGAGTCATTGTTCTGTTCTGGCTTTCACGCTGACGGTGGAATCCCAATTTCACTAAGTGAGTGAATGTGATCATCTGTGACATGTCACTTCAAAGCTTTGCTTTTCCTGTCCATAAAATGTGGGTAATCAATCCCAAAAGAAAAAAAATGCTTGCCATCTGTTGGTTGGTCCATCGTTCTCCCTAACCACAAAAGATAAAAAGGAAACAGCCACATGTCAAAGTGACAGTTCTAGTGAGGTTAATTTTTAATGTATTCCTTCTCAATTTTCTAAAGCATGTTTTGTTCAGAAACTGATAAAGGTAACACATGGAAAATGACATTGTCTTTATTATTCTGTTGGACAAGGAGAGTGGTGCACATTAAAAATAAATGAAATGTTAGACATGAAAGCCCTTTGACTTTTTTTTTTTAGGACAAGAGTGCCACTAATATGTGGCATCATGCTTACTTATTTTGGCTAAAAGGATTAATTATATATTTAAGAGCATTTGCCCTCTTGCCATAGGTTTGTACTATAATTTCCTCCTTACCAAATAATATTGCTCCAACAAGGCATCATTTTCTTCCTTACCAATAATATTGCTCCCACAGTTGGTGTTTAGAGACTAGCTCTTGAGTTAAGGAGGGGAAGTTGGGCCTTGGGTCCATATTTGGGTCCCATTTGGCTGTGTGACCTTGAGAAGTTGCTCTCTAGACTGACTACCTTATGCAGAAAGTGAAGCTTCAATTGCTCCAAGAGATTCAGATACTTTTCTTGGTGGTTCTTTCTTGGTGGCCTAGTGACCAGAAAAGCTAGAATAGAGAGCTAGAACCAGAGAAGCTAGAACCAAGTGCTCAGGGGCTCAATAGGGTCCTGTCAATCGCCCCTAGATTGAGTGAAACTGTGTATGTGTTTGCCTCAAATGCTTCTGCCAAACTAGAGAAAATGATCTCCACACTTGTTGAAGAGATTGGATGTATACCAGGCTGGCCAGGAAACCTGACTTTCATTGGCTAGAAGTAGACCATATTTTGTAAAGAAGAAGTTGTATAGGAGTCAGTTTGAGAGAAGTTCCTATCAATGACCTCTCCCCCACAGCCAAGAGGATGGATCCCCAGAAAGAGGCTCAGTGTCTCTGTCTAGTAAAAGAAGGAACTGAAATCAGGAAGTGGACAAATTGAAAAAACAACTGGAAAAAAACCCACGAGGCTGGAGTTTTTGTGACTTGCTTGGAATTTCCTCTAGCTCCCTTGGTGTGAAGCACTACCATTGGCAGCTGCCTTTACGCATGAGTTTTCTGATCCTTGTACAAGGAAGGCTAGGAAATGAACATCATGCTTTGCCTCAGAGAGGTGAGAGAGCTGAGAAGTTCACTAACACTAATAAGTGTGGAAACTAGTGTGCACCAGCACTACTGTTTCACAAAAGAAAGGATGTCATGAGGTAAAGGACCTCATCTCACAATTAAAGCTGAAGTATCTTCAACTTTAAATTACTCTTGTAGACTAACAAAAATGTAGTGAGCAACCATGTGCAAATTCTGAGGCAGACAATTGCCAGCTCTCTCTAGTTCTCAAGAATCTTAAAAATGTCCATGAAAATAACATTGTAAATTGAAGAATTGGTCAAATATTTAGTACTAGATTTACTTAACCATGAATGCATTTGAGTCATAGGAAGTCAAGGGTTATAGATGTGGAGAAATGGGCTATTAGCAGATATGTAGTAGAGTTAACACTTCTGGATTTCTTTTCAACCCAGGGTTGTCAGGCTTGGATGCTAAAGCCAGTGGTCGCTTAGGAACAAGAGCCATGATATATTATATGTCCACGACTGTCATCGCTGCTGTGCTGGGAGTCATCCTGGTCTTGGCCATCCACCCTGGGAATCCCAAACTCAAGAAGCAACTGGGACCTGGGAAGAAGAATGATGAAGTCTCTAGTTTGGATGCCTTCTTGGATCTTATCCGAAATCTCTTCCCAGAAAACCTGGTGCAAGCCTGTTTCCAGCAGGTAACCTGAAGTTCTGGTGGTCTGTCTTCTCCAGTCACCTAAGTTATTGAAGTGGTAGCTTAGGCCATTCTGGGTAGCAATCTTCTTAATATTTAATTGTGTCTGTCTAGACCAGGGTTGGTATGACATGGTCTGGGATAGGCTCTTGGGAATGGAATCTTGTGGTAGTTTTTTAAAGTTTCACCTTTTTTCCTACTTTCCAAACATATTTTTGTTATGAGATCTGCTTTCTTCTTCCTCTTCCTTTTCTTTAAGTTTCTGTCTCTGAATAATCCAGAAGTACATTTTTATCCATCTTGCTCACAATCCTTTGAAATGCCCAGTAGTTCTCAATTTTATAGTGTAGCAAAACCACTTGTAGAATTTTAAAAAAAATATATATATATACATATATATACATATACATATATATATATATATATATATATAAAATCAGAAGCTATAATCTTCCAAAATGAATTTTTTAAAATTGTGGTTTGAATAATATGTGTGAACCTAAAAAGGCTAAAGAGTATAGAAGTACATAAAATAAAAAATTACAAGCTCTCACTGACTCTCCTAAGAGCTACTCATGTTGAGAATTTTGTTTCCTATTATACACCTTATTTACCACGTAGGCATATGTGTATGACCTCTAGAAAAACATTCAGCTCAAGCAGTACCACATCTTACATATCATGATGCTGCTTGCTTTTCTCATGTAGCAGTGCAAATGGGTCACTCTCTTTTCTGTGATCATGTAATATTCCTAGAAGTGGAAATGTCTTGGGAAAAAAAGCTTATGCTTAGAACTTGTAGAATGTAGAAAATGGTACCATAGACATCATTGGCAATGTGTACTCTATCAATGGCATGCATGATATGCATTTTTTAAATCTTGTGATTTTTAAAAACAGATGATTCTGTTGAACAGAACCACTGAGTCAGCTGCCCCACTTGCTGAGTAGCCTGTTTTCTGTCCCCAAAGCAAGCTTGCATAAGAACACACCTCAGTTCCCAGCAATCTAGCTAGAGCCTAAGTTAGACACAATGGGCCTTTTCTAGCCATTTCCAGGAAATCACAGAAAAAATGAATTTAAGAGAATAGTAACTTAGAGGAAAGTCCGTGTTCCCAGCTGCCCCTAAAATGCAGTTGCCAACTCCTGCAGAGTCCAGGTAGCTTTGGGGCAGAAGATGATCTCTGATTTCAAATGCCATTTTACAAAGAAATGATAAATACTGTCAGTTATGGATTTGCTCATTAACCTGATATGATTATTACACAGTGTATACAAGCATAATGAATAGTGTGTTGTACCCTAGAAATATGTTTAGTTCTTACAACAGTTAACAATAAAATAAAATGTCAAGGATAGATTTAAATGCCATTTCAGTGGTATGGAAATACGGACCTGTGTTGAAAGAAACCATTCTAAGCAGGGAGAGTAGGACCAGGAGTGCCTAGAAGTCAGTGGAGAAAGGAGCGCTGTAGACCCCTCGGTATCATGTGCTTGTTTTTTTCACCTATCAGGGTATGCTTTGGAGCGATAGACACAACTGACTGCCGAGTAGCTTCTTAACATTACAGAAAGCTCTCTGGAGCTGTAGCTCCCCGAGTGAATTAGGAGAAAACTGAGGTTGGGAGCCCTGGAAAATACAGATCTGAGTCTGCTGGCTTGGTCTGTTTATCTCAATCCAAACACCTAAAAGGCAGGAGCAAGAAGCCGCCAGATGCCACGGTTGCTTGGGTCTTAGAGTGAATTTTGGGATTGTTGGCCACATTGACACTTGGGGACCTCTCTCAAGCAGACAGTCTTTGCATATAGATTATTAGTGACCCATTGTAAGGATGAACCTCCACTCTGATTCCATCACTTCACAGGCAATAGTTACATGAGCATGGAGTCTTAGCCCCTCAGCTAAGCTCAGTCAAGGTCCCTCTGCATTCAGCCTGAGGACTGACAGTGTAGAATCAATCCTCTACACCAGGTAAAGGTGAGTATATATTGCTTAAGCATAACACAGAGGGTCTTAAGGAGGTCTTGAGGTGAGGAGGCCATCCTTAGTGTCATGGCATTCCCAAAATGGAGCATCCACAAGAAGTTACTTCCATGTCTACGACACACAATAGGAAATGACTTAAAATAGTCTCTCTTGACTGATGAGAGTTTTTTGACCAGAGTCAGAAACAGAGATCTAAAGAAGCTAAACTGTCCCCAGAATAGAGGCTGCCTCACTCGAGGCAGCAGGGTGTAGCTCTCCCACGTGAGGCCCCTCGGGTCTTGGAAAGCAGTGAAGCCTGTCACTTGCTGTGCAGAGCTGTGAAGTTTCCAAGAGAGTGACTGGCTGTAATGTGTAGCCTGACAGCATTAAATCAAGGCCAGCAACAGAAATCATATGGTATCTGTGAATTCTTCCGTGGAATTCAGTGATCAGTGTGCGTCCACCCAGCCAGTGCTTTCCAGTGCTTCTGACTGCCAGGCTCTCTGCTCAGCAGAAGATGCCACAAGAGATGACAGAGACAACTGCCCAGCTCCATGGTGCTTATCCACATTCCAGAGGCTCTCTCTTAGAGCCTGAAGCAAACCAGGTGAATGCATAAGAAGCTTAAAAACTGTGAGGGCTAGAGGCAGGATAAGCATGGGCTGAGTAGTGACTGAGGAAGATGTCTGAGCTGAAACAACAGATCAGAATGAATGAGGTCAGAGGAGAATTGAAGGAGAGCCTTTGAGCAGACTGACAGAGGTCAGAAAGTATTCAGTATGTTGAGACGAGAAGGGAGGTTGATTATGTGGAGAGTGAGTAATATTAAGTGAAGCAAAGAAAACCCAGCTCATGCCAAGGTCACAATTGCATTCTTAGTCTAATAGGGCTTCAGTCAGGGAAATGACAGTTTTGTTTTTTGAAAACTCAGTCTGGAAGCTATGGATTTAGATGGAATTATAGATGGAAGGTATACAAGAAGAAAGACGGGTCAGTAAGTTAGGAGGATTTGCAGATTTTAAGGTGAGGGATGATGGTGAGTAGGATGTGGCAGAGCTGGTACCCAGATGGAGTTGTGCAATCCAGACAGGCTCTGTGAATTCTGTGAATCTGAATTCTGTGAATCTGAATTCTGTGAATTCTATGAATCCAGAATTCAGGTGAGGACCAGGCCTGGGTTCCTGTGTTCCTCTCCTTTCAGTTTCAATGAAATCCCCTGGCCTATGCTGTTTGGAAGCCAGATTTTAGAGACAGACAATTCATTTTGAACCCCACTTTAGTAACTAACCAGCAATGTACTGGTTGAAAGCCACATTTAGATCCATGATCATTCCTCCAAATAATCTGAGCTTTGGCTTCTTTAGCATTCTCAGGCTAGGTGGCCAGCTTTCTTTCCCGGGAGCATTATTCTGCTATGCTTGTGACTTACTTCCATCCTGCCTGTTCTTTTGCACAGTTGACCCTGGCATCCCTTCTTACTTGCTTCAGTGCATGTGGCTAGGCTGGAACTGAGATGCCTTCCTCAGCCCCGAGAACACTGATCTCCATTTTCATCACCTTGGTCATCTGGTCAGTTTGGCACTGTGCCTGTTGGGCCCAGCTGCAGGAGGACCAGATCCACATAGTCTACCATACAGCTCAGGGAGTGGGAGGAACTTGACAGCAGTCAAGCCAGTGGAGGTGAAGTCCCAGCTCTACCAATAACTGTGACATCTGAAAAGTCACTTGACTTCTCCATGCATCCTCTTCTGTATCTATTCAGGGTTCAGCCATCTGCCACCTTGTACACGCCAGTCCTGACATTCTAGGATTCTATATACACTCTATTTTAATGCCTGGGATATAGTGGGTTTAGGGACTCGGATGTGAATTTTCACAGCATTCTGCCTGATACCTTTAAAAATAGAATCACTGCTATGGGTGTCAAGGAAGCACATGAGAGGTTCCTTGGAACCTGCAAGCTTAGAAAACATAGAACAAGGGTTGGTTGGTATAGCTGTCCAGAAGAGATGGGAATGTTCTGAATTTACACTTGGATCCAAAATACAAGCAAATGTTCCTGCCATGGTGGCTGGTACCAGTCACTCTTGGTGCCCAAGTGGGGATTCCCAGCAGAACCTGGCATTGGAAGGAGCCCAGACTGAGCACTGGCTGGTGATGACTGTCCAGCAGGCACAGAAGGTCACCTAGCCAGATCTCACAATTCTGAGGGACATCCAAGTTAGGCTTTTAATATTGTCCCTGAGGTACAATCATGAGAATGAAGAGGAAATGACACCCATTTTCCAGTTTTAAGCTTGTGTCTCATTCTATTAAATCACAATGCTTGTAGTACAGTACAAGTTGATTTTATAAATTCTGTAATTGCTTTAGGGTTAGGACATTTGCTTCCTACTATATGCATGTGATAAAACATCACTTTGTTAAGTGAACATATAACATATTCTCCAATTTCCATAAACTTCTTTGGGGCATTTCTTAATTATTTTCAACATGAAGTATTTAAGTAGCCAGGTTTTGTTGACCTTTTAGACTAAATTGCATCTTTATTATCATCTTCTTCTTTGTTTTTACTCCCTTAGATTCAAACGGTGACAAAGAAAGTCCTGGTGGCTCCTCAATCAGAGGAACCCAATGCCACCAGCACAGTCGTCTCCCTGTTGAACGACACTGTGACAGAGATCCCTGAGGAAACTAAGGTGGTTCTCAAGAAGGGCCTGGAGTTCAAGGACGGGATGAATGTCTTAGGTAGGCAAAGTAGTTGTCCTGGGCTCATTTTCCTAGGGGAGGAACCTCTGTCTCCTTGGTGATGATGGCCAACCTTTCCTGCTGCTCATTCGCCAACCGTGGGCTCCTCAGCCTCCCTTGCACCTTTCTGATAGCTCTGTTGTCCTCTAGGTGGCACAGGAGGCTCTCTCTGGGGAGCAGTTTGAAGGCCAAGGAAACTGAGAACCAAGCAGTTAAAAGAAGAGGGAGGAGAGATGGGCAGAAGACAGAGCCTTGGGGACCTGGTGGTTAGAGATCTGGGATAGGAAAGGAGGAAGGGGCTGACATCATGTGAACACATTCCTTGTCTCTCTGTATGGCCTTGGCCAAGGATCTTATGTAAATTCCCATGTTATTAAGTTACACATACATTTCTCTGTTTCTTTCATTTCCTAAGCATTTTTTTTGAGCTGTGCCCGTGCCCTTAGTACTGTGCTATGCATGGCATTGCTTGTTACCAGCTCTCACAGTCTGTAAACAAATGTAAAGCTACTCCTAATGTAAAGCATGGAAGTAAGGGCCAAAGGGGCTTTACAGATTAGCTTTCTGGGATTCCAAAAGCCCTTCCCTCGAGCCTGGTAACTTCTTAGCATTCCATCCAAGAGCTTCTCTAAAGCCAGACAGACTTGGGTTTGGAGCGCTGTGGGCCACTCCCTGATTATCTGACCTTGGGCAAATCACTTCACTTCTCTGAGCCTCAGTTGTGAAATGGAGCTGGGATTGGCGTCTGGTTTGTAGATTGTTGGGAGGATTAAATGAGATTGTGCAGGCAAAGCACAATAGTACCCGTCATGTGCTCTATTCAGATGAGCTATGATCCTTAGTAAAAGTGGGTGGTGAGCAGAGGAGCTCAATCGGAAAACAGCCCTGCAGGGCATGACATTTCTCCTCGTGAGTGGCTCTAGCTTGCTCAGTTTACTCACCACTTCCATTTTGGGGGTCCACTCTGCTCCAAAATCCATATCCACAGCTAGTATGGTATCCCCAAGCAAGAAAGAGGGACATTTGTCTGTAGAAGGGGAGAAATGGGAAATCTGGATTCCTAAGCAAGATCTTCCAAGCAAGAGTTCTAAGGACTCAGGTGAGAGTTGTTTAGAAACAGAGGTCTCAGTGGTCCTTTGTCATCTAGATCCATTTCTTTATCTCCTTTTTGGGTTGGCAGATAACATACAATTGCCCTGTTAAATTTAAATGTTAGTTAAACAACAAATAATTTGTAGTGCATTTACCAAATACTACAATAAGAAAATCGATCCATCGTGAATCTGCAATTGAGATTACAATCAGGTATCTTATCTGCTGTTCTAAATGTGGTAGCCCTTCTCCTTACCCACCTAGACTGCAGAGAGAAAGAGGCAGAAGGAGCAAGATTGTACCATCACGGAGAATGAGAAACAAATCTTTTTTGTTGGCCAGCGGGAAGTGGGTTGGGTAAGTGAAAGAGGCAGGGAGGAGATAAGCTCCCTGAGTTGCCAGGCAATGAAAGATCAGTAAACACTGTTGACAATCAGAAGAGAAAGTGGGAGAGTTTCTGTGGAACACAGTTTCAGCTGAACTTTGAAGGGAGTCTTTTTTGTTTGTGCTTTTGTAATACTGAGGCTGGAACCTATGGCCTTGCACTTGCTAGGGAAGCCCTCTACTGCTGAGCTGCACCCTAATCCTAGAGGGAGATTTTGCAGACATTGTCAGTACTCTGTCTCCCACTGTCCAGAGAACTATGACCCTTCCAGAACCTCCCAAGTGTTCTCTGTCTCTTCTGGAAGATCGTGAATGAAGACCCAGCCCTCTTTGTTACAGTATACCCCAAACTCTGAAAGAGGCTGGGATTAGGAGATAAAAGCCAAGACCTTGGGGTGGGTCTATCACATTCTGGTCATTTCAGTGGATTCTAGGAAATCACACGACCTTTGCCTGTGCTGGCGAGTTTCAACACAACTTGCTTCTCTTTCGACTCCAGTGACCAAGTGTAAGAGGGCTTTGTTCAAATGCAACACCCCAGTTGCAATGAGTGATTTCAGTTAGGCAATGTTTATGGAGGGAAATGACACGCTGAATGTGGGTATCTGTCCAAGTGCAGATCAAGGCTCTGGGTAGCCAAGGGAAGTTAGAATTCCTCAGAAACTTCCCATTTACCAAGCATGGTTGAAATAAGGTTCTTTCCATGGTCTTCCAAGGGTGGAGATGGTGGCCTTTTTTGTTTTGTTTTTCTGTCTTTCTGTTCTTTGGCTTTGGAAAGTCCCAAAGATTGAGCACCAAAGTAAAGGAAGGTATAGTTCTAGCACTGCCTACCACATCACTAGGGATCTATTTCTCTCCCCCAACACCCTCTAGAACCAGTTCTAGACACTAATCCCAATTGATTAAAACAACTCCACTTGCTCTTTAAAAAAAAAAAAAACTCTCTTTTGTACTCATAGATATGTCCAGGTTTGTTGACCCTGAGGGGAGCTTTCTCATATCAAATTCTTGGGATTTAAGGCCAACATCTTCTCTTAAATTTTTCAAATGGTATTAATGGAATGACATTAGGTATTCTCAGACATAAGAGTCAGATTTATTGAGTCAGATTATTTTTACCACGTACCTAGCAAACTGTTCTCCATGGATTTGTGTTCAGGAATAGCCTGAAACTGATTTAATATTGCAAAAGTTGTCTACTCTGACTGAGGTCTAATCTTCAGTAAGTCCTTGCTTTTCCTGAACCGATAGCTTGCTTGAGAAGTCACTTGTCAATGTCTCTCTGACTGAGAGCCAAGAAGGGAAATATTAAATACTAAGTCCATTTATTTTCAAGATGGAGTACAAGGGCTGATATTTTGTGTGTGTGCTAAAAAGAAGATCCTGCAATGGGCAATCAGTCTGGATTGATACATACTTGGTGCAGCGAGGTTAGCATTTTCAGTGATGAGGAAAGGGGTAACATTAGAGGTTTAGAGAGAAGGAATTCCTCTCTAAGATAATCAACTTATAATGCTACAATTTATCTGACATAGGTTGACTCCAGGGATAACTGGACATTGGATACAATATGAGGGGGACCAAGAATTAGACCTGCCAACCAGGGGTAAGATAGGTGTGGTAAAGAGAATGGAGGACGAGAAAAGAGAAGATGGCTCATGCTTCAAGGTCAGAGGAAACATCTAGTGGGCCAGTAAAGTCTAGCCCACTAGATAGCCAAGGGTACAGCAGTATTACTTTATAATCCATGTAAGTAGTCAGAATCAGGGCACCCAAATAGGGAATAATGGCTCAGGAGTAGGGAAGCCCATAGTAATTGTCAAACAGAAATCTAGACACTCTCCAGGCAGTAGTACTAGTAATATCAGTTGGTTACATAGTGAGCTCCAGTTTCTGGGTGGGTCAGAGGCAGATACTAAGGATGATGGTGGAAAGGACTGGCTTGGGTACTTGGGAAGTATCTTTTGGAGAGAGAAAAGCCAGGCCTCTTCTTGCAGGAACTGAACTAGCGGGCACATTCCCAGGACCTCAGGTGTGGGAGTTGAGGAAAAGCTAACATAGAAATAAGAAGAGTCAAGGTCATGTGTTGTACTTGGTCTAGAACCTCGTGCAGTTTGCTGCTGATTTCAAGGGCAGGGACTGAGCTCCTTCGATTGACCTGGGGTTACAGTTTACCCTGGAGTGGTGCAGAGCTTAACCATCATGTCAAGTGAAGGGAGAAGAGGGCTGGGGCCTAAGAAGGGGCAAAATCTGACAGTAAATCTTTATAACCCAGAGAGAGAAAGAGACAGACAGACAGACAGACAGACAGACAGACAGACAGACAGAGACAGACAGAGACAGAGACATAGAGACGAGACCGAAAGAGACACAGACAAACAGTGACAGACCGACAAAGACAGACAGAGACAGGAGCATTCTAACCACTTTGACTATGAAATGAATATGAATTATGGCAATTTTGAACATAAATAACAGGTTACATTTTTTAAAAACTAGATAAATTGAACTTTGCCAAACCGATTTTGAACTTCTTACTGTTTTCCACTTTGTTTTTCATCTCTGTTCCTCCTCCTTATGTTAGGTGTGCAGCAACAATAACTTTACATTTTGGAATTTTCAAGAACAAAACATACCTTCCAAGTATTAATTCACGCTCACTCCAAAATCACCCCAGCAAAGACTTTGTTGGCTAACGGGTCTCTGCTGTTCCAATTTTGGCTCCAAAGTTTATAGATATCCCCAAGTCCTAACAAGCCTTCCTTTGTTAATCTGTGTAATAAAGGAATCTGCTTACATGCATTTTCACAAAATTTCATCAGTGAGACAATAAAGAAGAGAGCGCCTTTTAGTTTGGAATGAAATTGAATGAATTTCTTCAAGGAACTACAGGTACACTTGCAGTTTAACCTGGTCATGTAAAAAATGTTACGGAAAGTCACAGTTATCCGAGGAGAAAATACTTACAGTGTGAAATATAACACTTCTGTCTTTTAGTTCCTATCTAATTTATAGGCTCACTAGCAGTGACCTATGAACTGCTCGATGTGCGAAGCATGACAAAGAATCAAGAAAAGAAAACATGCTTTATAATTTGTCCTTCTGTGTGATGTGATTCAACCTCCAGGTCTGATAGGGTTTTTCATTGCCTTTGGCATTGCGATGGGGAAGATGGGTGAGCAAGCCAAACTGATGGTGGAATTCTTCAACATCCTGAATGAAATCGTAATGAAGTTAGTGATCATGATCATGTGGTAAGTGCTTTTGTTCTTACTTCATTATAATGGGGATGAGAAGAACTTGGGGTCCCCGAAGGATACTGGAGTCCTCTCAGCAGGAAAGAGTGGGTGTGGAGTGTCAAATAGCTCTCCAGAAAAAATTCGAGAAAGAGGTGGAGATCCCCTTTGTTCAGCTTCCCATACAGCAGGTGTTAGCAAGTGATGACCATTAGGCCATGTCTGTGATGACACAATTTGGTGAGTTGAGAATTGGTTTTGTTTTTGTACACATCTGTGTCAGTGCAGGCTGCTACGATAAAGCACTATAAATTGAGTGATCTGTACAGAGCGGAATTTGTTTCTCATAGTTCTGAAGCTTGGGTGTCTGAGATGTGGTGCTAATGTGATCAGGTTCTGCTGAGGGGCCTCTTCTGGGCTATGGATGACCCACTTTTCTTAGTACCCTTATACGGTAGAAAAAGAACAAGACAAATATCTGGAGTCTTAAGTAAGAGCATTGTTTTAGTCTGTTTCAGCTGTTATAGCAAATGCCATAAGTAAATCATAAATAAAAGAAATGTATTGCTTACAGTTCCAGAGGCTAGGAAATCTAAAATCAGCTTCCCAGGCTGATTGGTAGACTTCTGAATATAGTGGTACCCCGGTTCACAAACTTAATTCTTTCCTTGATTCTATTTGCAAACCACATTGGATGAGAACCGACTCAAATTCAGTGGTTTAGGTTCATTGTGGGCCTGATGGGGAAATTTGACTCAGTCCTTATCTAATTTAGTTTGTGGCCAGAATTGTGGAGAAAATTGAGTTTGTGAAATGAGGCACCACTGTATTTTGTGTGTGAAGATTTCAGATGACATTGTAATGCTGTTCAAAATATCCTTTAAGTCCTTCAGATCCATACAAGACGGCTGAGAGTTTAATGAATAAAGATGTCTAAAGTACAATGTCTTTTAATCATTAGCAGTTGCCCTTGTTTCCGAGAATTTCTCATAGAAGGTACATTCCTGCTATGAAGATGTAGTTCATATTTCTGAATATGACACTAACGATATGCCTAATGTGTGCAAATATTTTCTTCCATCCACGCCTATATTGTTTCTTACTGAGCCAACTGTTAGGCAAGATAATCGTCCAGAAATGTGATGAGTCTGTGGGATAACATATAGCCTCCCTTCTCCCCAAGTGGGGAGGGTGGTTGGATTAAGAATTTCCCATGCTCTGGAACCAAAACTCTGAAGGTGCAGCCTCATCTCCTGGGGGATGAAGTGATATTGTGAAGCAGACATGAGGCCTAGGGACTGATTCCTGACAGCTGTTGGGTTACCTCACCCTGGCAAACCGTCAGGAGCATGTTACATGACAGGAGGTGTCAATTCTATATATTACTCTCATTCCTTAACAATGATGTGCATGATGTTCCATTAAAAAAGCCAACCACTCTTTAACTGAAAGCTCAAAGCTAAAATAATCAGAGGGTTTTTTGTATTCTTTTGTATGTAGCAGTAAGACTAGCAGTGATAGTAAAGTTTAATAGCAAGAAGATGTTATTAAATTGTGGCCTAGAACTATTAAATTTTGATATATATTCAGCACTGTTCCTATTACTGTAAGTGTATTAGCCCGCTTATTATTGAGGAAATGTTATTATTAAAGCATATCTAAAATTTACCAAATTTCTGTTATATGCTTAATATTACCCAAAATACTTTATAGGTGTTAAATCACTTTTTCTCTGTAATATTATCTAACAAAAATAGGCACTTTTGTTAGCCCATTTTCCAAATGAGAGAGCACAGAGGTTGACTTGCCCGGTGCTGTGAGCTATGCAGAAGTGGTACCTAATTTCCAATTGGGCAGGATCCAACATCCTCTTGTAACAAGCTGTATGACCTTAGGCAAAGCATCCGGATCCTTAAGATGAGATAGTTGTAGAATCTCGTGTTGCTGTGAGAAGCAGCTTAGATTGTGAATCACAGTCATGGAACGTTTTCTTTGTATCGGGAACTCTTTTGGCACTTTTGTTGAGTCGGCTTTGCTATGGTCGCCTTGTTAGTATCATCATCATCAGCTTAATCCACATTCTCTGCATCTCTATGCTTGTGAACTTCTTTAAGAAGCCTGAAAAACCCTTAATTTTGGAGTGGTTTTCATATCCTCATTTTTTTTCAAAGTTCTTTTTAACTTTTATGTTTTGGAATCTGAACAACTTAAATAGAAAGTAAAACTTTTCATAGTCTTCCACTATAAAAACATAAAGAATAAAATCTTTGCCCCTACTTCTAAATACTATTGCCAGTTTATCAGCCCGCCCAACTCTCAATCCACACTGGCAAAGCAGACATTGTCATGTAGGGACACTGGTCATCATCAAGAGCGAGAAAGAGCTTCTGGCTAACCTGACTCAGTAGGAGTCCAGCTGGAGACCGGCCACTGTGAGCAAACATCATCTGGTGGGTGGCCCAGGATGAGGAACCTGATCAGATATGGGTGGTAATCAGACTGAGGCTGGGGATTCTTGCTTAACTGACTCAGCAGGGTTCTTTGCTAAAACTGGTTTTGATAAGGAAGTGTGCAGATGGGCCCAAAGGTTGAGAGATCTGACCACAGCTTGGTCAAACAAAGAATCTTCATCACCTCAGCTATTCTTTCAATAGCTGTGCCAATAATGATTTTAGTCGCTGGTTATATAATGATGAGTTAGACAGCGGGTTCCTGCCTTCATGGAACTTATATTCTAATGAAAAGTGAGAGGGAAAAGTAAAAGGAAGCTTTTATGGCTTAATTGTGTAGAATCCCCCTCAAAGACTCACGTATTATGGGCTTGATCCCAAGGCAGCTGTGGTCAGAAGTAGGGCCTTGAGGGGTGATTGGCTCATGACAGCTTTAACTTCATCATGTAAATTAAGCCACAGATGAGAGCATCATGTGATGGGTATTATTGGGAGGTGATGGAAACAGGCCCAGTAAAGGGACTGGATCACAGGGACTTGACTGTGGGGCCTCTTATCTGCTCCCTGGTCCTTTCTCTCTAATCCTTTCCCTTTCTCTCTCTGTCCCTGAATGCCATGAGATGAACAGCCACATCCTCCTGCCATAATGTTTCTGCCTCAGATCCTCCTTCTCCAAACATGACCCGAAACCATGAGCCAAAAGAAACCTGTCCTCCCAGAGGACTTCAGATAGCTCTAAATGCTGCAGAGATGATAAAGCAAGGCTGTGAGACAGAGTCATGGAGGGTGGCCAGGGGATTTGATGGCAGTGGGACAGACAAGACTGTGTGGGAAGGTGACAGCAGGAAGACCTGAAGAGTGGGCAGCAGGCAGCTTGGGGAAGAACTGAAGGGAGAACATTCTCTGGGGAAAAGAGGCAAAGTGAGAGCTTTCTGAGGATCATAGTGAAGGGCTGGTTAACCTGAGTCTGGCTGGTTGGAGAGATAATAGGCAGGAGGCAGAATCCTGAGGACCCTGCACACCACCTGATAGGTGGAGGTTTAATTGCAACATGGAGTTTAATTGCAACCTAAAGGTCACAGGCATGCAAGCTGTGTGAATTGATTTTCACTCTATTTTGGTAAAAGCTCATGTCTGTATTATACTGGGTAGCTACACTGGGTAGCTACATGGATCAGGAAAAATGGAGGTCAGGTTAGCTCTTGAACCTGAACGTAGACAGTGCCTTTAGACAACTCTTAGGATGTGTGTCTAACTCTTTATTGATGATTTCTTCCACTTCTGAGTTTCTTATGGGATCCATCCCAGATTGGCAAACTTGGCATTGCTGTTGGAAACAATGGGAACCCCAGTGGCTTTAGGGCATGACTGAGAACACTTGATCCCATGTGTCTGTCTTACCATCTTGTCCCAAAGCTTAACCCTTAACCTCAAAGGTCTTGAGGAAATTGGAATTAAACTAAATGGTTTCTAATAGCTAATCTGCATTTCATCATTTTTAGATAAGATTTTTTTGTTCCTTGGAATATTGGTTTCCAAGTACATCAGATTACCTGAGAGCACATTTGAAATAGAAGAGCTCTAAGGCCAACCCTAGGTGGTGGCCCAGGGAAGACACACTGCTAACAGCTAGCCGGGGTGATTCTAATTCATTTGGTCCATGAGTAAAGACACCTGGATTGAGTTCAGGGTATGGTGAGTGCTGTAGATGACTTTGCAGAATAAAGAATACTCCTGGTGGAGGTGGGGAAGCACATCAGTGAAATCCTTAGGCTGACGGGAGCTGAGGTTCAAGGTGAGTGGAGGCCAGAATGGATGATATAAGGCATGAAACAGATAGGGATAGGCCAGTCATGGATGAATGATGGCCTTGAAAACTGTGTGAGTGAGAATATGACCATCGAAAGGCAGCATAGAAGCCATTCTCTCCTCCTAGCTTAATCAGTGGTCATCTCTTAGAAACTTAGTCGCAGGTAGATCAATTCCTGGGAATCGTTTGATCTTAGTATTTATTGTCAGTGCATCCTTGAGCCTCAATGCATTTTGACTTGTGGCTTTCTTTGTTTCATTTCAGGAATTGTAGATGTTGAGCATTTGCCCTTTCTTTTCCAGTATTATTTGCGGTGAGATAATTCTTTGATATGGAAGCCCAGGAAATCCAAAGCCCCAGCTTCTGAGTAGAGACTTATTTCTTATTTTCAAAACAGTTACAGGGAACTAATGGCTCTAAAACAGTATCAGAGAAATGAAAGCTCTTTCCTTGTTGTAGTTAATGCTTACCCTAGTCCTGGAGACCAAGGTGTTTGACTTAACACAGGCTATTGCATTCAATATTTATTAACCCCAGACTTCACTTTCTGGCCTTGGAATAACACTCCATTTACAGTGGAAGTTCATGCTTTTCCCAGCAAGCTGCGTGCTCGGAAGGTAAACTCTTGCCTCTGTCTAGTCCATTTGGCTTAGGCTCAAATGCATTCTCCAGAATAGCCAGTCTCCTTGGCATAGAGCCTTGTAAACATTTTCTCTCCATTCTGTAAATGTATTGACCCAGAAAAGGAGGAAAATTAAATGGCACCCAAAACAGCATTGTATCTGTGTTTTTCTAGACATCTTTAAAGGGTGATTGGTATTTGGGCAAAAATTGATCTCTTTGGTTTATGAAGATAAATGCTTTCTAGCTTTACTGAAAGGGACATTGTACTCAGTGGTTTGCAATCTCAGGAACAAACTGTTGGCCCCTGAGTCAATTCTATTGATTTTTGAGAGGTTGTGTCATCTATGGAGATACCAAGAAAATGTAAAATGCTGGGGGAGACGAGAGTTTAATGACATTTCAGAAGGTCTGTTTTAAGCTCTCTAATGTTTAAGGAAGCAGTCTTCAAGCAGAGCCAACCTGCACCCCTAAGAGACAAGTGACATTTGGGCTCCATGCTCATCAGGAAAGAGTACCTATGCTAATGAAATAATTTGTCACTGTCAGTTACAAATCAGTTCTTTTAGGGTAAGGTTCCTCTGGAGAGATTACCTTGTTCCTAAAGCTGTCTGCCATTGGGCAGCTCATTAACTCAGACTAGACTCATTCAGCGTGACAATAAGAGGCCATGAATGAGATCTTTGTGTGAAAATAGAACCTATCCAGAATCATTTTGTCAGGAGTCAGAGAGCTAATGATATTGATAGGAACAGGGAGGAATTTTTTTTAACACTGTGCATGTGCACATGTTCAAAAGTTTAATCCTCATAGCAATGTGGTGAGGGTAAGGTCAGCCTCTCCAAGACTTGATGTGCATGTCTGTAAAATGGGAATAAGCCACTGAGCCAGGATTAAGCTGTAAGTGGCTGGGAAAACTTAAAGTCTCCTGTAGTGGTATGAATGGCTTTCAACTGCTCCTCACAGCTGAACCAGGAATAATTGGGAAAAAAAAGTATTTAGATAATATTTCTTTCTTTCTTGACTCTCTTACCCCTGAAGCCTTATCTAAGAAATTTATTTTCTCCATTGTCTTTCTTACAGGTGTATTTATAATTTTTTTTTGTCTTTTTTCTTTTTATCGGTACCAGGGATCGAACTCACGACTGCCTGCTTGCAAGCAGGCGCTTATGCCACTGAGCTAAATCCCCAGGCCCTATTTATAATTTTTTAATAAGGTAGCAATCTGCTCCCAAATATTTCTGTTTTAGTCTGTAACTGTCACAGTGTAAACAAATTCAGGCCCCAGCAAAATTCCTTGGGTTAAAAAAAAAAAAAAAAAGATGTGGCCAGAATTGCAGAGTAAACTCAAGGTGAGAGAGGAAAACAGTTAGCTTTCCCAAGAGTGGAAGCCAACGTTGTTTCCTGCTCTCTATAAAATAAAGATAATATAGAAACATAAAATAATTTTATATGGTATAAATTGTCATATCATAACTTGTCTCCTTATCTACAAAGAGCCATGATTGCTCACTAAAGGGAAAGGGTTTGGCTTGCTTGTAGAGGAAAATCCCCCAGCTGTGGAGTTTCACAAACCTATGCTTGTTCTCTTACTTCCTGCTTTCAAGGCCTTAGGTTGATGAGTCAGCTTTTCCAAAGTATAGTTTTCATTTTCCAAATAAAAATAAGGGTGCCTAGATTTTAGGGTTGCGGTGAGAAGTAAGTGAAGCTGAGTGTGGGGCTCTCCCACGTTACAGTGCAATGAATGGTGGCCCACACGACTGTTAATGTGCTGCAAAAATACTTTCAGGCTTAAAAAGCCATAAAGCTGCATTTCTCTAAATGCACTCTTTGGCTCAGATGGTTTTCTTGTTTTGGCAACTTGCTTTCTCTTTCTCTCTTTCCCTCTCCCTCTCTCATTTTAATATATCCTCTGCCTTCTAAGGGACAAACGGTGCAAATTTACATACCACACTTTATAAATTTCCAAAAAGCTCCAGAAATTATTCCCAAATTTCTAAGAAGGAGCCGAAGAACACAGAAATCAAACAAGAGTCGCAGACACATAGCCCATCTCTCTCAACTTTTAACCTGTTGGCTACCTGCAAGATGATAAAGCTAAAAGATGGTAAACTGTGTCTCTTTTGTCCTAAAACTCACCTGAAAAAACAAAGTTGGCCTTTGGACTTTTCGTCAGAACTGGCGTCATAGATCCATAAAACAGGCTTCCGTTAAAGCAGTTAGCTTGAAGTAAAAAATAACATCTGTCGAATCTCATGATCCTTTCTCAGCAAAACTCACTTTATGCAGAAAATGAAGGGTTCCCTACAGGGTGCAGTGCCTCAAAGAGCTCAGGTTTAAGTTCCGAATCCCGTAATGATCCCTTCAATACTGGTTTTCTTTTTCTTTTGTGTTTTTCAGGTACTCTCCCCTGGGTATCGCTTGCCTCATCTGTGGGAAGATCATTGCAATCAAGGACTTAGAAGTGGTCGCTAGGCAACTGGGGATGTACATGATAACAGTGATCGTGGGTCTCATCATCCACGGGGGCATCTTTCTCCCTTTAATTTACTTCGTAGTGACCAGGAAAAACCCTTTCTCCTTTTTTGCTGGCATTTTCCAAGCTTGGATTACTGCCCTGGGCACTGCTTCCAGGTAGAGAGTACAAAAGAAATCACCCTTTTCCCTGCATGCTCTTTTGCTGTTCAAAATTTTCCTATCACAATGTTCAGCGAGAACACTCTTCACACATTATTAAAATCTTATTGAAAAGGTGAATCTTTTGGCTTCTTCTAGGAACTTCTGAATCTAGTAATGAGCATTTTTGCTGGTATGCAACTGTGTTGGAAATATGATCTTATATCACGTTTTTCAATGAATGCATGCTATTAATTTGCATGTTTAACTTACTACATAACTATTAATTTAGTTTAGCTTTAAATTTTTTTCCAGAATGGTACAATGGGATGTTGTGTAATTAACATCTCACCTGTGATTGGGAAAATATTGTTACCAAGTATCATTCTGTTGAGATTCTGAGGATTAATTTTCCAAAAGTAGGAGAACCAGCTTTTACAGGGTACGTAAGTTAAGTGGGATTTTTCAAACAAGCAGAAGTCAGCCAAGTCTTTGACCTTGGCGTGAACTTCTAATGAATCATTCTGTCCCAGTTTAATTTTAATCAAGCTTATTTCATTTGACCTTAATAGAGACTCGATTCCTCCTGTATAACCTAGTTTCTGTGATTAGGAAGCTAACAAGGACCCAAGATACATGCAAAAAAACTAGTTTACAGTCCTGGGGATTAAACCCAAGGCCTACACACTGAGCTACATCCTAATCCTTTTTTATTTTAAAACAGAGTCTTGCTAAGTTGTTCTGGCTGGGCTCAAATTTGGAATCCTTCTGCCTCAGCCTCCCAGAGTTCTGGGATTATGAGTGTGCCCCACTGCACTCCTGCTTAATAATGTTTAATGGGCTAAAATTAGCAAAATCAAAACAAAGAAAAAGAAATACACTAGTAATGCCCAATGATTTAGAAGCTCAAAGAACAAAAGAGTTTTATTCACTCACGCTGCAGAAGTTTTATTTCTGCATTTATGTCCTTGGGTCACAAAACACAAGACAGGTGACAGGGAGGTCAATAACCCTAACACTCACAGATTCAAGACCATGCTCTTTCTGAGCCTGTGATCGTGTGTGGCCAATAAGCTGGCCCTTTGTGATAATGTGGCCCACTGTTCCCAGCCTACTGAGCAATCAGTCAGGTTTTCTTTAGGTGACTTAAGAGATCTGTAGTGGTGACCAGCTCGGAAGCCAAATCATGATTTCAATTTTGCAAAGCAATGAGCAGTCCATACTTATAAAATATGGGATTTCAGAGGGGAAAAAAAGCCAAAAACATACAATCTTGAGAATCCACATTTGGCATCATGTTTCAAAGAAAAACATTTGATATTTCCCTGTTCTTTTTTGACTCTATAGATCTTGCTATGCCTAAGTATCTCTACTGATAAAGATCCTAGAGAGAAAAGTAAATCTTTGCTTTTCAAAAGCAAAGACAATCTTGTTTACTTTTATTTTTGTCTTCTGATTATAACATGGTACTTGCTCATTGTGATGACATTTAGACAATGGATAGGACTTTGAAGAAGACAGTGGACGTCACCAGTTAGTTACTGTGTCACCAAGTGATAATTGATAGTAACCTTTTATTTACTCTTTATATATCTTTCCAGTTTTTACTATGTACTTGGGAACTGCTATTTTTTCAATGTTCAATATAAAGAAATTACATTATATCTGCTAATATAGACCTTTGCTATTATTTTATAAACTATAATAGTATATTGTAGGTACTATAATACAAAATCTACCTCACTCCACCCAGTAGTATACGTTTAAAGCGTGTCTCTTAAAAGTAGAGCTGTGACAAGCATCCTTATGGATACATCTCTGAAAAACTGTCTGATGATCTTCTCAAGATATACTTCTGGAAGTGGAATTTTTCAGTCAAATGTTATGCACAGTTTTGAAACATATCATCAGATTGCAATTTAGGAACTCACATTATTTCATGTTCCCTTTGGGTTTGAGAGTGAGCCCTTCTCCACCTACTCACCAGGGCTAGATATTCTGGACATATGTCAGGCACATCAGTGCATTCCAATCATATTGGTACAAACGTGTCTTCGTGAACTTGTACATCTGTGATTACTGATGAAGGAAAACATTTTTGTGTTCTTATTGATTGTTCTTTCCCCTGCCTCTTGAATTATATATGAACTAGGTTATTTTTCTTTGGTGTATTCATATTTTCCTGATTGGTCCCTGCCTATGACCATCTTCAAGTGCTGGTAATAATAATACCAGATACATACAGAAAATCCTTCTCTCTATATAAGAATATATGTCATACATTGCAAAAATGTCCACAGTTCTTCATTTGACATTTAAAGTACTTTTTGTTTTGCCAGTTAATCTTTTATTTTCTATTACAAACATCAATATTTTAGAGAAAAAAGAACTTCTTAATATTAAACTGTAATTAATTACATGTTTGATTTTTTCTATGTTGAAACCTAAATTTTTACATAGTTGTAGCCAGTAAACAGAATTAATATTCTACTTAACATTTTAATTCTAAATATTTTTATATGCAATTTTACATATAACCACATTTAAAGTACTTTTGCCACTAAAAGTTTATAATTTGCATTTTGTTCAGGCTGTAAATATTTCCCTTTGTATTTAGCATTTTAGTTTTACTAGGACATATTGTTTCCAAACATAACTACAAAATATTTTATACTTTCTTCTACTATTTTGGTGACTTTCATCTTCAAAATACTTCAGTCATATTATGATGTCCCTTTGAACGAACAGACCCTTATCCCAGTATAATTTTAAGATATTGTAAGCCTTTAACAGATATGGATGGTACATCTCAGTATCTAAGTCAAAGACAAAAATGCAAGCATTACTTAGTACATGCTGAAAATGTTAGAAATATTTCTGCCCTTATCCTGTATAGCAAGTGAAAAGAATATGATTTTAGTCTGCACTTAAAATATAGTTTTTGTCTTGATGTAAATTTTTCTTAAAAAATAATAATATTGCAGGAATTACATACCATGAACGAGGAATAAGGTTGGGGATCCTTTGCCATAATGGGAAAAATAAATGCACAACCTAAGGCCACAGGAGAAAACTTGCAAAGCCTAGGTCATCCTACTAAGTACCATCCTTCCTCCTTGGACCTCATTTGATCAAGGGTGTCCCAAGGTGGTTGATTGGCTCTTCTCAGTAGGTACAGAACTGGTGTCAAGGATGGATGGAGAGGCGTGTCCCAGGACATCTCTCTCTGCCTCCAGTGTTTGCTGTTAAAACTAATCTGGAAAAGAAGAATCTCAAGTATCTGACATTATTATTAGCAACATTTGAAGACGGTCATATGGCCTTTGAGGCAGGAGCCAAAAAGCACTGCCAGAGTGTTAGCCTGTCAACCTAGGAAAGCCTTGATATTCTCAAGGCCAATTTGGGTTGAGTGGGTAATGCGTATTTGTAAGACACAAGTATAACGTCGATCTAATACAGAAATAGACATTATTTTTCGAATCCTGCTAATCATTTCCCCAATCAGTGTAATTGTGTAAAGAGTTTTTGAAGACATACCAGAAAACGAGTGTAGTACTAAAAATTAATGTGTTATGGGATCCCAGAATATGTGTAGAGCCATACAAATGAATATTTTAGAGTAGTCACAGTGTTCTGCCAACCCTTTAAAAGAATCCTACAAAAGAGTGAGGGGAAGAGGTGAGAGGAATAAAGAGACACTAACTTCTTATTAAAACAGCTGAGGCACCAAGCCAGGTCCAGCAGTGTCACCTACATGCAAATGTACCCCAGTTTTTTACTTAGGCTTACAAGGTTTTACTCATGAGATGTTCCCAAATATCTTTTCATCATCCCAAATGCAGGAAGGAGACACTGCATAGACTCCTGACCTATAATTACAAAGACTGTTGCAGTAGGATTACTCAGACTCCCTTAAAGATATGAGGGCTTTGCAGGTCAGTTTGCGATGCAGGTTTGGACATCCCTAATTTTAGAACTCTGAGCTTCCTAGTTTACTGGAATCTGCATTTCACTTTTTTTTTTTTAATTTTCACTTTGAGAAATTGGGAACTTTGTGTCTGTGCCCAGCCTGATTAGAGCCCTCAACCCCAGCCCCCAGCCTGTAGAACATGGTAACTGTTACTAAGGCTGTAGGTGTAAGAGAGAAAACACCTCCAAATGCTGTCTGCAATGAGGTTTTCCAGTTTGTTTTGGAAATCTGAACAGATTTGGAAATCTAAAATCTGAACAGAAAAAAATCAAAAGAGAATGTACCATAGGGCATTTCCATGTTATTTGAGAGTGCTGAGATTTTTTTTTTTAAATCTTAACCTTTAAAGCAAATCTACTCAAACTTCCTATGCACCTCTATTCACAAGGAAATAATGTTCTGGCTCTCAGCAGCCTTTTTCTTACAGGCCTCCTATTTTAGAAGACGTGTGACCAAGTCAGAAATTCTAGCTGTTGAGGATGGGTCATGTAGTGTCTGTCTTTCATTAGCTACAGATGACGTGTTTTTCCGCACCATGTCATTGTACAGACCTAGAGCTGGCAATGGTTCTATCTCCAGGATTTCAATTGCATGTGAATTTCCTCGGTGAATTGCACAGGTTATTTGCTAAGGTTACTTGACATGTTTCCCTTCATTCTCCAAATTAGCAGGTGTAGCTCAGGGCAGTTCCCAGGGGCCAGATGCAATCCATGTCATCATTTTTTTTCAGAGACCACATTTCTAGCATGAAGTTACTCGTTATTCAAAAATTCTTCATTTCATTTTGCTACTGACTGCTGATCCTTTTCTGACACGATATTGTTTTTGCAGCCCAATTCATGTGGGCATTCAGATGTGTTTCAATATTTAATCCAAGACTACAATAATGACTCAAATCTCGGAGTAAATCACAAAAGTCAAGACCAATGAAAATATTTTTTGGCCTATTTAGCATCTTAATAAGATTGAATTTGAGCCTCTAACTCACTGGGTTTTAATTTGGCTGAATACTACTTGGTTGCACCTAACATTGCCTGATTGGAACAAAAGAACAAAAACTTTGCAGTGTTATTCCATTTTGTGCTTTATTCTGCCTCTCCAAAGCAGACATAACTCTCTCTCTCTCTCTCTCTGTCTATCTCCCCCCCCCCCTTTTCTCCCTAGTGCTGGAACTCTGCCTGTCACCTTCCGTTGTCTGGAAGAAAATCTGGGGATTGACAAGCGCGTGACCAGATTTGTCCTCCCAGTTGGAGCAACTATTAACATGGATGGCACAGCCCTTTATGAAGCCGTGGCCGCCATCTTTATAGCACAAATGAATGGTGTTGTTCTGGATGGAGGTCAGATTGTGACTGTAAGGTGAGTGAAATTAGGGTAGGGGCATAGAAGTAACCTTCTTCTCTGATCCCCCTCTCACTAATCCATTTGACAGAGGTTACGTGAACTTCAGAATGAAGGAAATAACAAAGAGGAATTATGGGCAGCTTTCAAAGGCGAAGAACTGTGACAGTAAAGAAGCAGGCTCTGTTTGCATTACACATGGAAATCGGCTCTTACTTGACTGTTAACAATGGTGTGATGTAGGCAAGGCACTTATTTCCATGTCCATGTAATAGTCGAGGAAACTCAGGTTCTAAGAAACATTGCTGATTGTCCAAGGATACGGCAGGCGTCATGAGCTGACAGCACTCGGACTGGGGCTGATGTAAGCTGATCCGGGATCCAACTTGTGCTTCATTAAAATATGCTCCTTTCAACATTCTGGAGGGTGAGGGCCAAAGTGATGAAATAATGGAATAAAGAGATTCCTCAATATAACCTATAACATTTTATTACAAATGGTACATATTTTTGTTTTTACTAAAGCTATTTACCATTTGTATTCATTATTATAAAAGATTCATAGCATACAGTCTTCCAAGAGGCCATTAAAATATATTGCTTCTCCATAAACCCAAAGCTCTCATCCACTACTCAGGCCAACTTTTAGCTCCTTGCGTATTGTAGAGTCATTGAAAGGATCAATCTTCAAATCATCCAAAGTTGTATCGACGTTTTAACATGAAATAAGACTCTTAGGAATTTTCATTTTGATAGTATCATTCCCACTCCAAGAAGGAGCTTCCGTTAAGCCAGAATACAGTTTCCATCTTTCATTAAAGTGAACTGAGGCAGCTTTTGGAGTTCTTGTTTTCTCCCTACACTCAGTGTCTCAGTTTCCTCATCAGCAAATAAAAGCATTCAGAATTAGTAGTTTGTGAGCTGAAAGCGGCTCAGAACCTTACTCTGTCTGCCTTGAAATATGCTGTAAAAACAGAATTTTAGTATCTTGTAAACTAATTGCTTTCCAATTCACCACATTCACCTTGCCCCTTATTACTCACACTGGCTGTTGAGGACATTTGAGTTTGTGACCTCAGATCTCTACAGTTAGTGTTTTCTTTCCTCTCTTAGATTCTGTGATATCACTAAGTATGGGGGTAGGTGAGTCACATTCTGTATGATACATTTTCAGAAGAAACAAAATTTGGAAATTGGAACAGCCAAGGCCCAAGAGATTCATTACGGAGAAAGAACTAGGGAGATATTGAAATCCACTTATTTTTATCTCTGAAATGGTGGACTCTTTACAGGTAATGCTTTGAATATGTCCAGCACTCCCACTGTCCCAATTTCACAGAATAATAAAGTGATACTAAGAACATTTATGTGATAAACTTAGGTCTCATGGCTGTGGGTGTCAGAGGCGTAGATCCAATCTCTATTCCATAGGCAATATCTTTCAACTTACATGCCAGCTTTCTTTTTGACTTTGACTCAACTCAAAAGAAGATATCAAATTCATTGTTGGTGTTTTCCCTTCTCCATTGAAATTAAGAAGAGAGAATGTCTTCTAAATTCAGTTTAATGCACTAGCCCTTTTCTCCTCTATGTCAAAGCCTGGAAAACACTTGTCAACCTCTATTTTAGAAATTTTGGTAATAATTATGTTTCTGGCTGGCTCACCGTGCATTTGACAGTTTATTCTCTGGGAGGACTTTCATGGTTTAGGGTCTGCTTGTCTTAAGAATTGAGGTCTGCTCATACCTAATTTCTCTACATGCTGAGATTATTGAAAAGTCCAAATTTAAGGGTTAAGCAGTACTCCTAGTATACAAGAAGTAATACTAGAAGTTGCCACCAGTCAGGCCATTTATGTGGTCTACAGGCTGATACTGTTCTGGTGCAACTTCAGATCTTTGCTTGACTCTTCTAGCCCTCGGGCATTTAACCAGCTCAGAGATATTTTTTTAACATCGTCAATTTCTCATTTTTTCTTATAACCATTCCAAAAGAGTTAATGAATATCCCATATGCAATCGAGCTCAGTTTGGCGACTAAACAAGCAAGTAGAGAAAAGAAAAAGGCACCACATTTAACACAAGAAAACATGAGTAAGAATCACAAATTTTCCTAGGGGCTATAGGAAATATAATAAAGGAGGAACTGAGGCTCAGAAAATAGGTCACCCACAGTATCTCACGGATTACTTAAAATTGAGCTTTCAAAATACTGATGTATGCGTCTGCAGATTGAGGAGCGTAACTTGTGATCTTAAAAACAGCCCTGCAAAGTAAGGATTGGGTTCTGTATTTTAGAAATGGGGAAAATGAAGAGGTATGTGTTTTTTGGTTTTTGGTTGTTTTGTTTTGTTTTGTTTTATTTTTGTACTAAAAAGCAAACTCAGGACCTCACAGTTGCCAGGCAAGCGCTTATGCCTCTGAGCTAAATCTCCAACTAGGATCTGTGTTTTTAACCATTATACATGCTGCCTCAACCATACTACATTATATTATCCTGTGCTGTGCTGTGCTATGCTATGCTATGCTATACTGTACTGTGGGGTTGCAAATGCTAATTTGTTGAATTCTTCCAATCACTTATAATGTGTGTGCTACAGAAGTGTCTCAGTTTCCTCATCTGTATGATGAGCATAATTATCACCCAATTTGGGGTAGTTGAGGGCATTGTCTGGTACATATTCACCTGTTCATAAAGGTAGCTGTTACGATCATTAGTATCAATGATGTTCAATAAAGTACAATAGCACTGCTATAATATTGGAGAAAAATGTGACAGTGATGTAGTAAATACCATGAGGTTATTCACAATGGGAAACTTGCCTCAGGTCAGAGTGCCAAGCCTTCCAGATCATGTCTTAACAGATGTTATGGGAGATTGCTGACTTCTCTTGCTTTACAACTCCAAAGTGAAAAGAGCTTCTTAGTGAAGCCTTCTACCAATCAATTGTAGTTTCTGATGCCTCACTTCTTGTCCTTGATGAGAACGTGTCTTTCTATGGAGTTCACACAATGAGTTGGGAATTTAAAGATAAAAAGAATGGACTATGTGATTGAGTTTGTGCTGGAGTTATTTAATTTTATCGACAGGATTTATTTTATGTTAACAAGTTTTCACTGCACAAAGAAAATGGTTGGTGATGTACATGCAAATCTCTGGCCACTGAGCCAACTCTCCTTAAATGTAGGTGCCACAAGAGCAGCTTGGTGGTGGTGATGGAGGACATGGGATGGGTAATTCCGCTGCCTGTCATTTATTAGTAGAAGAATAGCCAAGTCTAGCTTCATGCTGTGCTACCAAGTAAATCCTTTATCCTTGCCTTTCCCTGCTTTAAGGAGAAGAGTGACTAAAATTCTCAGCACATTCATTAATTCATAGAACTTTCAGGATGGGTGGGTGGGGACCACTGAGAACCAGATGACTCTGGAACCTCATGGAGGAGTGAGTATTCATGTCCCAGCCACAGTTTGTTAAAGGCACGTGGCTCAGAATTATTTCCCCACCCATTCAATCCACAGTTTTCTCATGATGAAAGCAAGTATTGCTATATATATACCTTTCAATGTTACTGCAAATATTTGCCTTCATGTGGTGTACATGATACCTGACTCTATTTCTGAGAACCAGCCCTAGAGAAATCAGGGGAGTGGACAGCCAGCAGGGCAGAAAAGGACAAAGGGAATAAGCATATTACTACTTAAGGAGCTGTTACAGGGCTTAGAGTACTACAGACCATACTTCTCCCATGGGAGGAGGAAGTTTATTTTTATTACTATTTTTATTATTATTATGAAGGTGAACCAATTATCTGGAAGAATTTTCTTGGTAGGATTTTGTCCCAAGTAACCACAAGCTCCCCAGATAAAATGGCCACAGTGGATAGGGATGAGTAAGAGTGACTCATAACAGAAGCAACCAGGGTTGTAATGAAACGTTGGAGGCTAAGATTGTTGGAATTTAGGAAGTCCCCTTCCTGGGTGTTCTGTCTTGGGGAATTGGCTGAGAATTCCCGTCCTCCAGCTGTTGGGGTTTGAGGGAAGTTTTCATTGTAAAGTAGCCTCATTATGATGAGATTTCCTAAGAGTAACAAATCACAGCACAAAATTAGCCTGGGTTCTCTGACCTAAAGGAAGTTTTCTATTGTGAGTAACCTCATGATATTCACTATATAACTTGCCACATTTTTTTCTGATACTGCAGGAATGCTGTTATACTTTACTGAACATGATTGATAGCAGCAATCCTAATAGAGTTTTCTAAGCATGTTTCTTTTTCTGTAAGCTCCTGAAAGTTTTTGATCACTTCCCCCAGTGAGATGCCATTGTTATCTCCTTTTCAAATCAAGGCATAAAGATGTTAATTTGCCTAAGTCAGGTGGTTGGGAAGTGGTAGAGCTGGGATTTGAAAGTAGGTTGTTCAAGAGCAGAACTTTCTGAGAACTACCAGCATCTGTGCTCTGTGAGTCCTAAATTCGGGAAGAATGGCAATGTGGAAAAAACAGTCAAGCCATAGACCCTTGAGGGTTTACATTTCACACTTCCTCTAGTGTAAAATTAGGTAAATTCAGCTTGCTCCCAACCGAAAGATTCCAACATGCCATGCTCAGTCACACTGATGGCTTGGATTTAAGACACACCGAGAAACTGGCTCTGGTTTTGGAGCCTGAGTGCTTATCACAGATCCTCTAGAGTTTTATAATCACAAAGGAAGTACTCCTTTTCCTTTTCTTTTCAGTGCCCACAAAATCAAGTTGGGAATTCCTACTTTCAGACACACTCTTCTATTTAGAATTGACAGCTTCTATAAATGGCACCCTCATACAAGAGATCCAGAGACCCCCTAGAGTCAGTGGGTCTCACAGACCCTCCAGTGTCTATACACAGCACTTGAACTCTAGATTAACCTTTTTCCCAGAAATAGACATCAAAATGGTGCTGGATATGCCCCCTGGAACGACTTGCAAAAAACATAATGAAGTGCTTCAAAAAAAGAGATTTCTTTTATTCCATTATCTTTGCTTGGCACCTTCTTTCTGAATAATGTATTTTCCAGCCCATGAGGATCCAGGCAACTGAGTTTAATGTCATTTGGAATCTGTTGATTTCATGCCCCAGTGTCCACTCACTTAGGTCTGGAGATTTCCTATTCTGAGAGCTCATGTTAACATTGGCAGTGACTTCCACAGACTCTCGCCACGTAGTCCCGAGACTAGTGCTCAGAGTGACGTAAGCAGAAATGAATGCAGTTGTGTTCTCATGGGAGGGTTAAGGGTGATTTGTTTTCCTTCTTTAATATTTCCTTGTCTGCTTTTAGAGTTACAGTTATGCTATTCGAGCCCTGTGATGCATTAGGGTAAATGGATATCATGATACTGATAAAGCTCCAATCCATAAATTTATAGACTTCAGCCCAGTTAAGTAGAATCCAAATAGACCCTAATTTTTGGGTCTCTGTTCTTTAGATTTTTCTGTTCCTTAGAGAGAAAAGGAAGAGGGAATTTATGGCTGCAGGAAAATTGGAACTAAAGAATGCCAGGGATGCTTTTGCCAAGACTCTTCTCTCTTTCTCTTCCCATGACCTGGCCTTCTCTTTCTCACAGCCTCACAGCCACGCTGGCAAGTGTTGGCGCCGCCAGTATCCCCAGTGCTGGGTTGGTCACCATGCTCCTAATTCTGACAGCCGTGGGCCTGCCGACAGAGGACATCAGCCTGCTGGTGGCTGTGGACTGGCTGCTGTAAGTGCCTGTGATGGGCTTCTGATGGGGATTGTGATGAATGCTCCCAGGGGTGGATAAGTGGCAAAGCTGTGGCAAATCCCCATGGCACCTCTCCCTTCCTTCCTTCTTGCCTGTAACATTTCTTGAGTTCTCTACTTGCAAACCAAAGAAGAAAAGGATAGACTCTTCGAGAGTTCCACAGTTTAGTGGACACATCAGTAGATTATAATACCAAGTAAAAACTAATGGTATAACAAACCAATTCCTGATGAATGCAAAAAAAACTCAAAACACTATATTGAGTGACCAAATCCCAATAAGAAAGGAGTATGTACTATGTGATTCCATCTATATGAAGTGCAAGGAAGAGATAATATAATCTATAGCAATGGCAAGAGATCACTATTTGCCTGCAGTCTGGTAATGTATGAAGACTAACTGAGAAGGGGTGCGAGGAAACCTAAAGAATGATAGAAATGCTTTTTATACACAGTGTCTCTATTTATTAAAACTCATCAAACCAGGCAGCTAAAATATGCACATTTCTTTGTACATAAATTTCAAAGTAAAATTTTAAAATAATGCACAAATAAAAAAGCATAGTGATAGGATGAAGACAGAGTGGAGAATACCAGAAATCAGTGGCAATGGTTTCTTAATTTGAGTGCTTACTGCACCAGCTACTATGCTGAGTGAGCTACATCTCTTTCTACAGAGATCCTGAAAGTTTGATGCTATTAGTCCCATATCATAGATGAAGAAATAATCTGAAAGAGGTGAGATGGCTTGAGAATGGACAGATTTAAACCTCAGTCTTGATTTTGGAGTCTGCCATATTCTTGTTCATGGCCATATTCAAGCTTCAAAAGGCAATGATAATTAAGCAACATCCTAACTGTGTTGGTAGAAGATACTCAGGAATACATAGATGCAAAGATCACAAGGACATTCCGGTGAGGCTGGCCTGTACAACAGCACTGAGGTGACGAAAAGGGTGGAGACCTGTAGATGATAAAAGGAGAGGCAAGATGGGCAGACTCACAGGCCATTCAGGGAAGTTTAAACTTGAATGTGTACAGTGCAGCTCAACTACAATTTCCAATGAAGAACATTCTTCTAGTGTAGAAGACTCACTTCCTATGCTCCCATTCGTAGAAGTAGAAAAGTCTACCAGGAGTTTCCCAATAGGGTGGTTTGAATGGATCTTCTCGAAGGGCCCATTGGGACCCCGCTACTCCTTAAGATGTACATTAATGTCTCGTGATAGTGATAGAGTCTTTCAGTGATACCATGAGCTTTGATGTTCAAGACATGATGACAAGTGATACAGAAGTCCAAGGTCAAAGTGCCCATGCTTATTTTTCAAATCATCTCACTTACAACTGTTAGTTTCTCTGATATTTATTGACATGGATTTTGAGAGCCAGAAACTACGTATTATGGACTTGTGTTTGAGTCTCTTCCATGCTCCCTCCCTTCCAAAGAGAGAAGGCTACAAGTAGCTGATAAGTAGGGGGCCAGGGATATAGTTCAGCAACATGGTGCCTGCCTGGTGAGTGGGAGGTTCTGAGTTTGATTCCTAGTTCCAAAAAAATAAAAAATAAAAAGCCAATGAGAAGAAGGCTATCTGGGAAGCCTGGTCTCTCCATTACATGTGCCCTTATTGGTACAGACAGTGGGGTGGAGGTTATCAACAAGAAGAGGCTCCATGGACACAGTCTGTTCAACACAGGAGGGCTGTGAAGCAACCATGGATCTTTCTGGCTGGGTCCCTCACCATCAGGAAAATGTTCTGGCAGTGTGTTGAGTGGGAAGGTCAAGAGCAAACTAAACAGCCTCATGTTTATCTGCCAGCCTCGGGTAGGTTTTTCTCTGCTAACGTGGTTGCTCTCTATGCCCTGTGGTGGCATCAAGAGGTAGCCTTTCTCATGGCATCCGTTTGGACAAAATAGCTAAGATTCAGTGGTGGTGCATGGGTGGAAGGACAAGCAGAGGAAAGGACAAACAAGATGAAAGAGTAGGGTAGGATTTGAAAGGAAGGAGGAAATTGGAAATGAAGACATTCTCAGTAGTCTGGAGATGGAGCGCAAGGTAGGAGCTCAATTAATGTGTGCTAACCTTTACCACACTGTGCTCTGTGATCAGGACCTCTCCATGCAAGAAGAAAGTCAGAGGAACTTATTCGAATTTCTCTTGTTTGTCTGTGACTTGCTGGCTACTCAGTCCCCCACCTCTGCCTCTTGAGCCTCCTTAGCTGGTGTTATCAGTGAGGGCTAAGTCTGCTATGACTCCTACCTGATCCGATGTTTATCTTTTTTTTTTTTTGTCTTTTTCATTTTTATCAGTACCAAGGATGATGTTTATCTTTTTAATAATTATCACTCCAGAGGCTGTTGTCCTATTGTAAAGTAAGCGCCCTGGAGTGGAAAATTATGTAGTAACGTTGTCAGGAATAAAGAAGAGGAGCTGATAGTTGGTGGGCATTGCAACTTCTTTGCATCTGTTTTTGTATATTTCCCGAAGATCTCTGTTTCACAGGTGAGAAACTAAGGCGGGAAAGACTTAAGTGTCTTCTCTGAGGCACAGCCTAGCTTGTGCAGGGTCTCAGTTACTGTCTCATCACTGGGATGAGATATCCGACAGATAGAGAAGGAGAAGTTTATTTTGGCTCAGTCCATGGGCCCTTGGCTCTAAGGCAGAAACTTTGTGATGGGACGGCATCATGGAGGAAAGAGCCCTGGTAGCCAGCAAGAAGAGAGGGAAAGACAGGAAGAGAGAGAGGAGGAGGAGGAGAAGGAGGAGGAGGAGGAGGAGCCTGAGACCTTTCAGGTCATGTCACCTGTGACCCACCCCGGCCAGGTCCCAGTAATGCATTCAACTACTGAACTCACCAGTGGGTGAATCCATTGCTGAATACGACACCACTATGGTCTAATCACCTTCCACACACAAGAATTTAGGGGAACGTTTTTGATCTAAACTGTAACATATGGTCAGCTTTGGACCCTTTGCTTCACCTGTGCCACCTCCTAATGTGTACTAAGCAGTTCATCTGTGGAGAAGAGGCAGCAGAGAGATCAAAATTGGAAGGACTGGGGACATCAGACCTGCAGGGTCTCCCTCCCTGTGTGAGAGTTGGTATGTTTGAGGACAAGAGACCGATAGGGTCTCCCTGTTGTATTATTTGGATGTCTGTTCCCTTCAAAATGAATGTTGGGAGTTAATTTTTAATATGACAGTATTAAGAGGCGGAGCTTTAAGATGTTATTAGGTTATGAGGACTGGTATTGGTGCCATCATGAGAAGGTGAGCTTGGCCTCATTTTGCTCCCTCTTTACTCTTCTACGTTCCTCCATAAGCTAATGCAGTAACATGGTCCTGACCAGATTCTGGAGTCTTGATCTTGGACCTTCCAGCTTCCAGAACTGTGAGACAATAAATTTCTGTTCTGTATAAATTAACAAGTCTCAGGTGTTTTGTCATAGCAGTGCAAATGGACAAAGGCATCCTTAGTTCTACATAATCACCAAAGACTTTCTGTATGACACCTTCGTCCCACCCCACCCCATTAACAAATGGAATATGAGGCTGAGTCCTCTCAAATCACCCCGTACAGACACTCATACTTGTAACTAAGCCATAATGTCACAACACAGGGCTGAAATGGGTCTTCAGGAGGGAGTTGGTTGAACACAAACAAGAAACTGTTGATACATGAGGATTAACTGTATTGATAAAATCATACAGTAGAAAACTATTGTGGGCTGGAACTGGAAAGAACAAAACAAGAGTGATTTTCTTCAGTCTGAGGCTCTGATCTCCGATGTGGGAGGCCATATGACCAAGGGGAGAGAGAGAGAGAGAGACCAAAAGGCAGGAGAGCTGCTGGGAGCTCTGTACTTGTTATCTATGGGACTCGGAGCAATTTACTCACTCCCTGGGCCTCAGTTATGCTGTGTGTACAGTGGGAACTCTAATGTAAGCTTGAGTGCAGTAGTCTAAACTCAATGTCCTGAGTGCTCTTTTAGTTTTAAGGCCTGACATAAAATGCTGCTGAAGACAATATTTGTCTACAAATAAGTATAAGCATTCCTCCTAAGAAGAAAAGAGAAAGAAAGGCTAAGGGATCCTGGGAAGATGGACACTGGAGCCCCAGCTGGGCCGGATCCACTTCGAATTAATAATGATACTGCATTCTTTCTCACCAGCAAGAGGAGTTCGGGGAAACAAGAACTTGATGGGGAAGCACCGTGGCTTTTGGGAACTCATTAGTGTGTAAGTGGGGTGAGTGTTGGGTTGAGATGGGGTAAAGGAGAGGTTGACTGTCCCTTAGAAAAATAGTTTGCAGAGGGGGAAAAAATCAGAGGAGATTTTTTCTTCTCTAGGCAAAGTCTGTAAGCATTTATAACTTCAGCAATTTTTTTTTTCATTTTAAAACCAAACAAAGCCTTCAGTGACATTTAATGTGTCACAGTGTTTTCCAACTCCTGGATACAATTCAGCCTCATTACTGCCCACTAAACTCTGGATGTTTTTCAATGGGCAGACTCAGCTGCTTTGTAAATGTCATTGTGGAAACCAAGATTCCAGATCCCCAGAAGTGACTGAGTTTGAGAACACCAGATAGGTGGGGCGCACTAAAATCAAAACCTTCTCTCGAGTCCAAGAAACTATTTGTGTTGGGAATTCTTGGCATATAGTTGTAAGAGACATGTTGACACTTTTCTCTCCCTGGAGAAGGAGGAACGAAATAAAAACTGGGAGCTGATATCAGGAAGAGATAACAAATAATGAATCTGGTCACATCTAGAAAAGAAGAGCCATTGAGTGTACCTGTGGCCTACTGCTAATGTGACACTCTGATGAGATCTGTTCTGGACTTGAATTTACTAATTGGGGGTATAACTGAGATGGGGCTTAGAGAGGAGAATTTAAGGAGCTCCTGTCCTGCAGGAGAGACTTTGCAGCTTCTCATTAGCACCCATCTGTGAAGGGAATAGAACTTCAGTACTGAAAGG